GCTGCAACTGATGAGCGCTCCCGAAATGTTATGGATCCAATAAATTTTGCAGCATTTGCTACACACAAATCAGACTACTTTAACACTTTGAAGCAGCACCTTTTGTAGCAGTAACTCACAAGAAGGGTACAGCGGCTCCCTGGGCGTCATTTGAGGTTTTTTTGATGTTTTTTAAGGTACAAGCAGTCACGGCAGTTTAGAGCTGAAATTAGCTGGCCGTTTTCACCTAGCTGTGTACTGCAGTGTCACTGGCTGTAGAAGAAAACGTATGTGTTGCAGTTGTGTCTTAAAGTAATCTTTATAAAAGGCCACATGGGCCAGATACAAAGCGCTCTTTTCATATTTGCAATAATAATCAGAGGACAATCTTTGGGGAGAGTTCGCCTCATGAGTTGCACTGCGGGACTCTTTTCTGCTTGAAAGACGTCTAACACACATTTTCTGTTTTAACCATGCGCGAATAAAGAAAACCAGTAGCACATGCGATTAACAACATTTTTAACTTTTTTGAAGTTTAAGTCTATTTTGTGTGTTATTTTGAAGTGTTTTAGGTATTTGCACTTTCTGTGAGGCTATTTGTAATTCTTTACAAAGGATTCCACTTTCAGCGGTCTGAGAACAAAAGAAAATAAGCATGGAAACCCTGATTCACCATTGGTGGAAACAACACATTTCAGCTGCGAAAGCTGCAAAGGCGACATACATTTGGAAGCCAGTCTCCTTGTTGTCGGCCATAAAAATGAAGGTTTGCTTTCTATTCTTTAACGCAAATCGTCATTGAACAGTCGGAATTTGGGATCCCTACATGGAGTTGGTCACAAAACAATCTGGACACGTTTGCATTATCCTGCATTTATGCATAAGGAACCCCACCCAGACTTTGATTCAAATGAGCTGACCAAAGCAATAGCCAATCAGCGTATTGGTGGTTGTCACCACCTTCTGCAAACCTCTCTGTACGATCAATTTCTGAAGCGCATTCTGACGTCTGATGAGAAGTCAGTTTGACACGGTCGATTACAGCCGAAAAAGTGAGTTGGTTATGAGTACTTAGGCCACTTCTACAGTCTCAGGTCAAGATCGGTTCAATGAGAAATTTAGTCCATGTGTTTGGTGGAAGTTAAAAGTGTTGCTTCACTTTAAAATTGCTTCTGATTAATCGTGCAGTCAACTCCGATCTCTATTTAAAAGAACTGAGCCAAGTTTACGAAAAAAATTATTGAGAAGCTCCCGGTACTCTTTCGTCGAAAACAGACTCTTTTCCACCATGAAAATGCCAGAACTCACACTACAAGAATAGACGTAGAGCAGGTTCAAAGAATTAGATAAGGTTGAAGTTCTCCCACATTCGGTTTACAATCCTGAAGCTGTACCATCTAGCTATGGCCGTGCGGCTAAGTAGGCAGTTACAAGTCTCATATGCATTTACCGCCCGCGTTCATTACTAGGGTAGTCATTATTGCGTGTAAGTCCGCACCCGAGTCGATAATTGCCTCCAGTACCGCTATGTGTGACATTAAATGATGCTGCAAGAGAGGATCTGAAAACTCTCGGTTCAGCGATCGCATCTTCCTATTCTAAACTGATTCCCCTGATAGGCCGTTTTGCTTCTATCAACATGTGCGGAAGAGGCCGCAGTAACTATGGTCTACTTCCACCAGAGAGACATAAAGACGGTATCAACAAGTTGTTTTAAGGACGGCATTTCGTAACACGACGTACAGTGGATGGTATTTTTTGATGAAATGTGAGGATCAACATTTGGGTAGGGGATTTAACGCACATTTGAGATTGTTTATTTCGTTCAGTGAGTTTATGTGAGGCGTACAATTCTGTCTATTAGACATATGGTCAGTTCAAATAGGGGCAGATTGGGGCCAAATACAATAAACAAGAAATTTCCTAACCTACTAGACGCTGCAGAAAACTCTTTTTCATTTCTGAATTATAAAAACGAGAAAGTTTTATATGATATTTGTTCGGAGAACAAACATTTTTTTTGCATTCATGTAAGTGACGTAACTGCAATTATAAGATGACGCATTATTATCAGAAAAAGAAGAGCGAAATATGTTAAAAGAATCTATTTTGCAAAGCTGCAACGTTTTGTGCCATCAAATTAGGTATTGAACTTATCAAGTTGTTACTTGTTTAAGCACACCGAAAGTAACGAAGGTAAACAAGTATATATACCAAGAACCGAGACATACCGTCAATTTTCTCTGTAAAGCCTTACGCAAAAGATGCCTTTATTATTTCTATCTATATGGCAGAATGAATGAATAGAAAGGCTTGAACCGGC